CGCAGAGGTCTGGGGACCCTGCCCCTTACTGTCCCCCTCCCGGTGATGGAGGGGTTGCACAGACGGATGCGCGTCATTTGTGGTGGCGTCATACTGGTTTCCTTGGTTTTGATTGGGGAGTTCTGTTGCTAGTTCGGCTTTCGATTTGCAATTTATTTAATCAACAGTACAGGGGTACCTCGGTTTAAGAGTTTAATCCGTTCCTGGAGACAGCTCGTATTCCGAAAACTCGTAAACCGAAGCTAATTTCCTCATAAGAAATAATGGGAAATAAATTAATCCGTTCCTGACTACCCAAAAACCTCACTTCAAACTAAATTTTATACCTAATTCATCTAAATAATCCTACAAAACTATGTTCAAGTTATTACTTACCGTTGCTGATGACTGTTGTTGGCGTATGGAAGATGGTGAGGAGGGGGAAGGAGGAGAGGTGTTACTGTTTGGAAGGGGAGTCCCCTTCCATTATAACATCAGGGAGTGAGGACCTCTCAGGGGTGCATTCTCTGGCACGTTTTGCCTGCATACCACTAGGTCCTGGTTGTGGCTCACTGCTAGATTTTCTCACAACAAATCTGTCCATGGAAGATTGTTTTTCCCTTCTTCGCAAGATGCCTCTGTAGTGAGGCATCACATTCTTTTTCTAAATTTTTCTAACCAACCCCTGATTGCCTTAAAGTCTATCGTATCTGCACTCATTCCAGGGGTTTTCTTTACAAGGTCTTCGTGCAATACCCTGGCTTTCTCACAAATGATGGCCTCTGAAACACTATCACCCACTATCTGCTTGTTGTGTATCCAAATTAATAACAACTTTTCCACTTCCTCAAGTATTTGTGGTCTTTGTTTCGTGATTGTTCTTACGCCTTTTGCCACTTTATCACTCATAATGTCCTTTTTCTTGCTAAGTATAGTGCATATCGTTGACGTGGCTTTGTTGTACTGCCTACAAAGTTCAGCAACACGTGTACCATTTTCATGCTTCTGAATGATCTCTTGTTTTTCCTCTATTGTCATCCTCACATGTGCTTTCTTGCCTTCATCCTTACCACTGGCTTTCTTGGGACCCATGGTGAGATATATAATAACAACTTTTATTGTCAAATGGCCAAAAATCCAACAAAACACTGCAAATCGTGGTGAAGAATTCAGGCGGGATAGTCACTGGGCGCGAGGCACTGGAAAACTGAGGAGCGATTGCCATGCCACCATGCGTAAGGTCAGCCTGTACGCGTATCAACACCCTCGCCTCCCGAGGCAAATTTTCCGAGCAAATCCTGCTCACATTCTGAAAAACTCGTATACAGGGACACTCGAGGAGAGGTTAGAGGCATTAAATATGCCAAAACTAGAAGACAAAAGAAAGAGAAGTGATATGATCACTACATACAAAATAATAGCAGGAATTGATAAAATCGATAGGGAAGATTTCCTGAGACCTGGAACTTTAAGAATAAGTGGTCATAGATTTAAACTAGCTAAACACAGATGCCGAAGAAATATAAGAAAATTCACTTTCGCAAACAGTGGTAGATGGTTGGAAGAAGTTAGGTGAGAAGGTGGTGGAGGCCAAGACCGTCAGTAGTTTCAAAGCGTTGTGTGACAAAGAGTGCTGGGAAGACGGGACACCACGAGCGTAGCTCTCATCCTGTAACTACACTTAGGTAATTACTCGTATTCCGAGGTACCACTGTAGTTTGTTTTGGAATTCCTACCTTTCTGGGTGCCTGACCTGGTATATGGCAGACAAAGACTGCTTCCAATTACTCGGGGGCGTCTTTAGGTCATTGCTCCTCGTGCCTCTCTTGAGGGGGCCAGGTTTTGGCTCTGGTCCCCGGCAGGCCTAGAACTCCTATGATTGATTGCTACCACGGTCTAATATATATACATCAGCCCGGTATAGCTCCTGGGAGCCAAAGGGGCTCTCCACAGAAATTATATATAAATAAATATATTAGAATATACAAAATCTATTTTTCCATAAAACCAGCGTTGAATGTAATGAAACACCATTTTCTGGGTGAGCCCCGGAGGCTCCTTGGAGCTTATCGGGCTAATGTATGTTATATTAGACCGGGACATTAGCTAAGGAATTCAGACCTACCAGGGACCAGCACCAGAACCTGGCCCCTTCAGAGAGGTTTCAGCGAGCAATGGCCCTGGAAAACCCCCTTGTGGTTGGGGTTTTCCTTATCTGCCATCGACCGGGGTTAGGCACCCAGAAACATAGGCATAACAAAACAAACCCCACATGGTAAAAAAGTAAAACAAAAAAACGAACAGAGAGGTAGAAACTCCCTACAATCACAAGGAAACAAGCAAACAAGCAAACATCACACTTTACTACCGCGCCGATCGTCCGCGCAGCCCTCCCCGCCCCGAGAGGAGGAGGGGGGAGCCCCGGACCTACTGCGCCGGCTGCCAAGCTTTAGTTCGGAAGCTAAGCTTCAACCAACGCGAAAAAACCACCGACCGGTGGGAGGGAGGGTTGTCAGGGAGCCTCCGGGGCTCACCCAGAAAATGGCGTTTCATTACATTCAACGCTGGTTTTCTGTGGGGAGCCCCTACGGCTCCCTGGAGCTTCATACCCAAAGAGAAGGAAAAGAAAGGGCTAACCCGGGAGGCGGCCGCCACAAACTCTGCAACGCGAAGCCGAGACAACAGGTTGCAACCTGCGACTCAAGGCAACAATAACGCACAGGAGCAGACGCGCATACAGAATGGGCGGCCAAGAACCTGTGCGACCCTCAAATCCCTGCGCCCGAAATGAGCCCTTGAAGTCGCCAACACAGTAGCAAAAGACGCAAATGTCTGAACAGCACGGGCGCAAGGACAGACCGCAGGCTGGAAGGATGAAAAACTCTGCGGACGACCTGGGAGACCCGAGCCCTGAAAACAGGGAACGAGGGGAACCAGATCAACCACAGCGCATCCCCAGACACGGTACGCAGGCAACGACAAAAAGCACAACCGGACAACACAGGACGCACCCGTGGCCAAACCAATCAAGCATCAATAACCCAAGAACCCCTCCGGAAAGCAGCCGTCTCGACCGCCGCCAGGACGGAGAAAGGCTGCGACATGAACCTCACGGTTAGCCAAACCCTGAGAATCCAGCAAACGAGCTACTACGGTACCAACCCCCAAAGGTCTACACCTTAGAGAAACCCTGTGGTTCCGGCAAGAACCGCCAGAGAACAGTCCGAACAGAGCTGAATGGTAGAGCACCGAGTGACCCAAACCCTCCGAAGCACAAACCAGACAGCCACGAACTCCCAAACCGTGCTGTGAGCCCGACGGACGGACAGACTCCACCATCCCCGACCGACCTGGTGAGCACTGGTCACAAAGCCCCAGCCGAGAGATGACCCGTCTGTGAACACATCGAGCGAAGGCTCGGGGAGGGGTGTGGACTTTTCGGTCTGCCGCTCCTGCTTTCCTGGTTCCTTTTCTTGGAACCGGGTTTGCTGGGTTCTGGTCCTGGTTTCAATTTTTCTTTGTTCCTTTTCCGGACCGGGTGTGTTTGCTTTCCTGCGGTTCTCGTCCTCGGTAGTTATCCTCTTGGATGCCTCGGAGATGCGTGTCTCATTCTTCCCTGCTGGAGCTGGTTATGTTGCTCCTTTGGGTTGCGGGGTCGCTGTTTTTAGCTTCGCGTTTTGCGAATCTGAACACAGGTCCCAGGTTATTGGTCTCCCACCTACGTGTTTCGTCTCGGGGGCAGTGTGTGGTTTTCCTATCATTGCGAAGGGTCCTTCGGTCTTTGATAGGGTTGGCTTGGCTTCCCTTCGGGGTTGTTCTGGGACCGTTGTCTGGGATTGTCCTGTCACATCATGTTGGGTGGTGCTGGCAGCGCCGCTCCTGCTTACGTTCAGTGTTGCGGTTCCTTCTGCTCCATTCCACTTGCTGTCCTGGGCGTTGTTTCCCTCTGGCCTGCTCTTGAATTTTGGGGCCGTCCTGGTCGTTGGCCTGGGTGGTCTTTTTCTTCTTGTTTTGGTCTTTGTTTTGTCTCTGGTTTTGTTTGTTCAGTTAGGACGTGTGGTATCCACCTCCCGGTTCCTTCCCTGTTTTACTTAACTTTGGGGAGGTAGCTCCTGGGAGCCGACGGGGCTCCCCCCAGAAAACCAGCGTTGAATGTAATGAAACGCCATTTTCTGGGTGAGTCCCGGAGGCTCCCCGGCATCCCGCCCTCCCTCCGGTCGGCGGCGTTTTTCGCGTATTTGACATCCAGCCTAAGAACTGCCAGTTGGATCGCCGGCGTGGAGGGCCTGGGGCTCCCCTTTCCCCTCTCGGGGAGGGGGGGTTGCGCAGACGGTGGCGCGGCGACGTGATGACATCATGCTAGTTTGATAATTTTGTTTGGGGAGTTTTGTCCACTCGATCGGCTTTCGGTAGCAATAATTTCACCAGAATAGGGGTTTGTTTTGGGGCGCCTACCTTTCTGGGTGCCTGTCCCAGTCGATGGCAGACATAGAATGCTCCCAATCACAAAGGGGTGTTTCTATAGGCCATTGCTCCTCGTGCCTCTCTGAGGGGGCCAGGTTCTGGCTCGTGGTCCTCAGTAGGCAAGAACTCCTAGCACTTTGACTGATGCCACAAAGTTATACATATCCATTCAGCCTGGATAGCTCCGGGGAGCCTCTGCGACTCACCCAGAAAATGACGTTTCATTACATTCAAAGCTAGTTTTTTACCATGTGGGGTTTGTTTTGTTATGCCTACCTTTCTGGGTGCCTAACCCCGGTCGATGGCTGATAAGGAAAACCCCAACCACAAAGAAGTTTTCCAGGGCCATTGCTCCCTGAAACCTCTCTGAAAGGGCCAGGTTCTGGCGCTGGTCCCTGGTAGGTCTGAACTCCTTAGCTAATGTCCCGGTCTAATATAACATACATTTGCCCGATAAGCTCCAGGGAGCCGTAGGGGCTCCTCACAGAAAACCTACGGGGCTCCTCACAGAAAACTCACATTACACTAAGATATTTAAATGTTTTTTATATCTGCAGGACGCTAATTGAAACCTTGTTTAGTCGTGGTATTATCAAGGTTTTGGTATGTACAGCTACTCTGGCCTGGGGTGTGAACCTCCCTGCTCATGCTGTAATTATAAAGGTAAAAATATTTGTTTCTGTTCGGTATGTAGAAGTAGACCTTCCTGAATTATTGTATTGTCGTATTGCGAATTTTGTTAGTTTTCCTATCCATTATTGTCACTTTTAAAATGGCAGTGATAATAATACTCCTTTGTAAAATCAATAATATGTATAATAATTTTATTTGCAGGGACTAATGTGTATAATAATTTTATTTGCAGGGAACAGACATCTATGACAGTAAACATGGTACAATGGTTGATTTGGGTATTCTGGATGTATTGCAAATTTTTGGTCGTGCTGGCCGTCCTCAGTTTGACACAAGTGGGCATGGTACAATCATCACCACACATGATAAACTGACTCACTACTTGTCTCTTCTCACCAATCAGTATCCAATTGAGAGTTCTTTCATCAATCATTTGGTGGATAATTTAAATGCTGAGGTTAGTTGATTATTCAAACATTGGTACAGTATTCTAAGTCAGATAAGTTTGAAGATGTTTAATTATTTTGAAATAATGTTAATTTTATTTCCATTAATTTTAGAGTAAAGTAAACTTTTGTGAAATTTATTTCACTGGGAAGGGACAAATTTCATCGGATTATAGTTGAGTTGTTAGATTAAAAAAACCAGCGTTGAATGTAATGAAACGTCATTTTCTGGGTGAGTCCCAGAAGCTCCCCAGAGCTATCCATGGCTGATATGTATACCCTAACTATTTTGCATCATTCGATGTGGGTGGAGTTCCAGCCTACCAGGTACCACGAGCCAGAACCTAGCCCCCACACAGAGGCACGGGGAGCAATGGCCCATAGAAATGCACATGTGAGTTGGAGCATTCTATATCTACCATCGACCAGGACAGGCACCCAGGAAGGTAAGTGCCACAAAACAAACCACTATTCTGGTTAACAACGAAAATTGACAAGCGAGTGGACAGAACTCTCCAAAAGAAAAACGAGCAAACAAGCATGATGTCACACAAGCCGTGCCGCATGTTTGCGCAGCTTCCCCCTTCTTGGGAGGGGTAAGGGGGAGCCGCAGACCCTCGCGCCGGCGATCCCTGCCCCAGTTCTGAGGCTGGATATCAAAAATCGGGAAAAAACGCTGACCAGATGGAGGGAGGGTTTCCGGATAGCCTCCGGGACTCGCCCAGAAAATGGTGTTTCATTACATTCAACGCTGGTTTTCTGGGGTGAGCCCCTACGGCTCCCTGGAGCTACTTTACCAAAGACTACTTAAGATAAAAGGGGACTTACCTGGGAGGCAATCGGTGCGCCACTCCTCAACTCGTAGTCGAGACAACAGGCTGCAACCGCCGACCTAAAGCAACACAGGCCCGAATGGGCCCAGAAACGTTCACAAGGTAGCATGCAGCCAGGACCCTGTTCAACCGCTAAAAACCCCGCGCCCGAATGTCATCCCAAGACATATTGCCGTAGACGGCAGCAAGAGCAGCAAACTTACGAACGTCATTTGCACGGGGATAGACCACAGGCTGGCTGGATTTAATAATCCTGCGGATGACCTGAGAGACCCGAACCCGCAAACAGAGAAGAAGGGAAACTGGGTCAACCCAAAGCGCGTCCCCGGACACAGAAGCCGTGGCACAGATAACGGCGGAGAGCCGCAACCGGACACAACACATAATGAAACCCCGGCCTGACAAACAAAGCATCAACAACCCAAGGACCCCTCCAGGAAGCAGCAGTCTCATTTTTCGCTAGAAAAGAGGGAGACGGCTGCAGACGAACATATCTATGAACACGACCAAAGGAGCAAATATCTCTGCCCATGAGAAGAGCATGAAGCTCCGCCACACGACACGCAGAGGCCAATGACAACAGAAAAAGAGCCTTAGCAAAGCAATCCTGAACCAAAGGGGCCACAACAAACCGAGAAGAAAGATAGGAGAGCACTCTGTGCAAAGACCAGGACGACTCAGGCGGCGCATGAGCAGGCCGGAGGTGAAATAACGCACGAGACAGCTTGCGAAATGGTGCAGAAGTAACATCGATACTGAAAGCAAGCTGCAGCGGCTCCGCCAGCGATGCACGATACGAGGCGACAGTATTAGGCATCAGATGACCGTCCTGGAACAACCTAGAGAGAAAGAACAATACCACCCGAACCGAAAGCAAGGAGCAACAACGAAGACCCAAAATGAACTGGAAGGACCGCCAGGAAACTTCATACTGCCTCCGAGAGGAAACCCGTAGGTGAGAAACCAACAAGGAAGCCACCTGCTCACCATAGAGATGGTGATAAACACGAGTCAAAAACACCAAATGCGAAGACTCGCGGAGAAGAGCGAACCAGTCTCGTATGGGACTGCGCCGATCTCCTAAAAGAGGCGGAACCGCGGAAAAACCTCCGGGTTCAAACACCAGGCAAGCAGTGCCTGAAACCATGGCTGGGCCGGCCAAGGTAAGTCTCCAAGCAAGCCAGGACCTAAAGCAACAGCTGAACCGGGGAAAAGATGTACAGGAACCCCCACCTCAACCAGTCCTGCCAAAAGCCATCGATCCTGACAGCCTCGCAGTTGAGGAAGGGCACCACGTAAACCAGAAGACGTCTTGACCACACCGAGGCGAAGAGGTCCACCTCCAGGTGCCCGAACGTCCGGCAGAGCCAACTGAAAGAGTCGGCGTTGACCATCCATTCGGTGGACAGGGGAACGAACCTGGACAGGCTACCCACCAGGACGTTGAAAACCCCCCCGACGTGAACCGCCAGGAGAGCCAAACCTCGAGAACTCAGCAGACGAGTCACCCAAAGCGACCAACCCCAAAGAGCCAAGGACTGCATTGAACCCCCACGGTTCAGGTGAACCACCGGGGGAGCAGTCCGAATGGAGCCGGATTGTCGATCCGCGTGTGACCCGAACCCTCCGAAGTGCAAAACCACACTGGTGCAAACTCTTGCACCAAGCAGTGGACCCGATGAAAGGACGGACCCCACTGCCTCTGGCCAGCCTGGTGAGCACTGGTCACAAAGCCTCAGCCTAGAGACGACTCGTCCGTGAACACATCGAGAGAGGGCTCGGGTAGGCGCCAAGGCACAGAACCCCGAAAAACCTGAATAGGAACCCGACGACGCAGCAGCCGCTGCAGGGCCCCCTGGGGGGGTCGAACCCAGCAATCGCGAGAGAGGCGAAAGGGACGTCCCAGAAGGAACCAGAACACCCGACCCGGCGGGTAGACGAACATGGCGAAGTTCAGGCTCCCGCACAAACCCTCAAGCAACCGCCGGGTGACCCAGGAAACCCCCATAAACAGACACAGGCGAGACCGCAGCCGAAGGAGAGACTCCGGAGGAAGAGACAAGGAAGCGGTCTAAGAGTCCCACACAAGACCCAGCAAGGATCGAACCTGGGAGGGAATCAGACGGGACTTCCGCCAGTTCACCAGGAACCCGAACCCGGCGAGCTGGGAAAGCACCAAATCCCTGGTGAGCAGACACGCTGACCGACTGGGAGCCCAAACTGGCCAGTCGTCGAGGTAAGCCAACACCAGAACACCTAACAGATGCAGACGGGCCACCATGACCCGGGTAAGGCGTGTGAACACGCGAGGTGCCAGATTCAACCCGTAAGGGAGACAACGAAAGCGGTAGCACTGATTCCTCACAATAAAACCGAGACAGTCCCTGAACCCCATATGAATAGGGACGTGCCAATACGTGTCCTTGAGGTCCAGGGACACCATCCAAGCGCCCGGCTCTAACAGAAGCCAGTCCTGGGACAGAGTGGTCATCCGAAACGAGGGGCAAGAAACCCAAGGGTCCAGACGGGACAAGTCCAGAAAGAACCGCAGGTCCGCACAGTTTGGAACTGGAAATAGGCGGGAAACCCACCTGAGGGACGTCGTCGTTTCGACCATGCCCACGCACACCCAATCACACTCACACCCACAAATTGTATAAACCCACACCTTTTTTTTCTTTTCTTTTTTTGTGAGTGAGCATCACACAAAAGTCACACTGCTGCAGGCTCCAGGAGAATTCAAATTATCTAAGTGTGGGGAGTAGGGTGAGGGTTGCAAGTGGTGTCCCAGAACACATGAAGGTGTAGGGAATTTGAAAAGCAACTAAGAGATAAGAAATAAGTGTTAGTGAATGAAAAATCTGTGGTAGAAAAGTTGATCTTTCAAAACAGCAGAATGTCAACAAAGGTGGCTGCCACCACTGGGGAGGACAGTATCCCATCAAAGGAATATTTTGCAGGTTTTTCACAACAAGATGCAATGAAAGGTGGTTTTCTTGGCAGGTTAGTGATCATTGAGGACTTGCTAAAGAATTATGAAGAAAAAGTTATTAAATTGGAACAAGGAAATGAAGGTCTCAAGATAGTTTTGTAATTTAAAAGGAAGTATTTTCCAGCAAGATAAGGAGATTACCAGCTTGATTGATAAGGTAAGGATACAGGAGGAACACATCAAGGAACTAGTAAAGGATAATGAGGCATGGAAAGTGAAGAGTAGGGAATTTGAAGAAATTCACAAGAAAATACTCATATGGTGAAAAACAACAAGGGAACCTGAGGGTTAGCATGGAGTTAGGTAAGGAGATGCAACGAGAAACTTCATTGGCAACTCACATAGAGGAGGTTCATAAAGAACTAGAAAAGTATAAAGATGAAATAAAAGAGACGAAATAAAAGGCAGGAGAGATTGCTGAAATAGAGGGAATACATAGAACATATACGGCACGCATAGACGAGATAAAACACCTAAATTATTGGGATCGTCTCAAAGCTCTCCAAATGTACTCTCTAGAAAGGAGACGCGAGAGATACCAAATAATATACACATGGAAAATACTGGAGGGGCAGGTCCCAAATCTACACAGTAAAATAACAACGTACTGAAGTGAACGATATGGAAGAAAATGCAAGATTGAACCAGTGAAGAGCAGAGGTGCCATAGGCACAATCAGAGAGCACTGTATAAACATCAGAGGTCCGCAGTTGTTCAACGTCCTCCCAGCGACTATAAGAAATATTGCCGGAACAACCGTAGACATCTTCAAGAGAAAACTGGACTGTTTTCTAAGAGAAGTTCCGGATCAGCCGGGCTGTGGTGGGCATGTGGCCCTGCGGGCCGCTCCAAGCAACAGCCTGGTGGACCAAACTCTCACAAGTCGAGCCTGGCCTCGGGTCGGGCTTGGGGAGTAGAAGAACTCCCAGAACCCCATCAAGCAGGATGTATGCGCAAGTTGTAAAAGAGAAAGAGACAATTAAGGAAGTGTGTTCGGAAGTCAAAACCAGAAATGACAAACAAGAAGCGGTCTTAGGCAAGCAATTAGGAACGAATTGGTTACCAACAGTAAACTAGTACAAAACACTGCAGATAGAAGTAAGTCAATAGTAATTTTTGGATGTTTAGTGAAGGAAATTTTCTCTAGGGTAGACAGAGCAGCAGAAGCGATGAAAATCATATAAAA